TGAAAAACAAAAACAAAACAAAACAAAAAAAAAGAAAGAAAGTAAAACATTAAAATCTTAAGTATTTTTTTATCTAAAAAACTGTTTTAGGATAGTAATATGAATTATGATAAAATGGTTTAGGTATAAAACTCTAGACTCACTAAGATAGGACAGACAATACAATACTTTCTCTGAATTTGTCAAATACATATGGACTAAACATTGCAAACATAATTCTTACTTGATAATTGTTCTTATTGTATATAGTTTTACTATGTTAGGGTTAAAAAATCTTTCCTTTTTATTTAGACAAAAAGGGGGAAATGTGGGATATTTGTATACTGTGTGAAGGTTGGTTCATTGCTGTGATTGTTTTAATAAAGAGGTGAATTGCTAATAGCTAGGCAGGAGGTATAGGTGGGACTTCCAGGCAGAGAGAAGAAGTAGGAGGAAATAATCAGGGCACAGAGGAGATGCCAACAAGATGTGGAGAGGAAACAGGAGGTTCAAGATGAAAGAGAGTAATGCCAAGTGGCAGATTAATATAGATGCGTTAATTTTTTTTTTTTTTTTTTGGTTTTTCGAGACAGGGTTTCTCTGTGTAGCTTTGCGCCTTTCCTGGAACTCGCTTTGGAGACCAGGCTTAGATGCGTTAATTTAAGTAATAAGAGCTAGTGGGACAAGCCTAAGCTAAGGCCAAGCTTTCATAATCAATAGTAGCTCTCCGTGTCATTATTTGGGGCTGGCAGTGGAAAAGAAAGTCTCTACACAGAGCAGAGATCTGATCACTGGTCAAAGCCACTTGCCTATGCAATGCTGACAAATATGCCCATGATCAAGGTACATAAAGGACAGGGTGCGTCCACCACCAAAGAAAGTCTGAGTTCCTGAAAGTCAATACAGCACCTTGTTTATATAGTACCATATATAGTGGGGAACAGTACCATAATGCATTCCTTTTATTAAAAGAAAAGAACATTGAGAGATTGATCTACATAAGTCAAGAAAGTGAATAGATTAAACTGTACTTGATTTATGATCATTTATTTATACTCAAGTCATTCTTGGTTTCAAACTTTTGCTCTTTTGATTTAAGAGACTGACAGGCAGCAACCAAATTGAAATTTCCATTTTACCAAGAAAAGAGCTGTTTAATGCTGTAGGTCAAGTTATACCAGCATGAACACAATGTACAGGGTTATACTTCACTGCTTCATCCAAGCTAAGTCTACTCAAATGTTTATGTTTGCATACAGCACCCACTCTTGATAGTCTATAATCAACTATATATACAAAATAATCTTTTCTTACAAAAACATCATTTTTTGTGTGTAAATTATCCATTAACTTCAGTTAGTTATCACAGAGTGTCCATCTCTGACAGACACAGATTCTATTCTCAAGCAAGAATTTTTTAAGTCAGATTTGACACTCTGCCGAGGTCAGAATATCTTAAAAACAGAGACCCCAAAGTTAAGAACTCTTTGGTGAATAAGGCAAAAAGATCTCATCATAGGTATATAGTTAGACATATTTCAATGTATTTATAGTTGTAGTCCTCAAAATAAGAAGTTATTGCTATTTAGTATAATTGGCTCAAACCTCTTAGTGTGAAGCTTTCCATAAATAAATCTAGTTTATAAAAAAATCATCATACTTCTACAGGTTTTTAATAGGCCCCAAACTATGCCTTGGCTTAATCTCTGTTGCCCCAAAAAGCATACAGGTGAAGAATATGTGAATATTTAGAGGTTTACTATCAGGGCAAACACCAAGTAGACTCTTCCCAAGCCATCACTGCAGTAGTAAAACACAACAAATCTCTGAGTTTATTGTATAGCTCTTATTTTTAAAATACACATTGTTCGCTCAAACAATAAAATTGTATCTAAAATGATAAAAAAATTGAATGCAGATAGAAATAAATTACACTGAATATTTGTGATTTTTGAATTTTACTTTTATTTTTAATTGGGTACTCATGAGTTCAGGTGCTTCAAAAGTCAGATGTATTAGATTCTACTTGAGCTGGAGTTTCAGGCATCCACCTAAAGTGGTCCTGGGAGTGAAACTGGGGTCTAGCTCTGGAAGAATAGCACATGCTCTTCACTGTTGAGCCACCGCACAAGCCCAAATATCTGCAAATTTTAACATATCAACACATGGCAAATAATTCCTTCAAATATCTTTGAAAGGTCTTTGAATGACTCTGTCCCCTAACTGGGATAAATCCTATGGGCAAAACAAACTGTAAGGAAATATTTCTCTATTCAGAAAGTTCCCTATTGGTGGTGGGAGGAAGGGAAGCTACTCTTGTGCAAATGACCACAGTACCAAGGCTACTGGGCCATGCCTTTGCAGACATGACTTGTCTAGGGTGGCCAGTAGGCAAGATAAGAGAGTGAAGCCAGGCGGTGGTGCACATGCCTTTAATCCCAGCACTTGGGAGGCAGAGGCAGGAGGATCTCTGTAAGTTCAAGGCCAGCCTGATCTACAAAGCGAGTTCCAGCAAAGGTGCAAAGCTACACAGAGAAACCCTGTCTCGAAAAACAAAACAAAATAAAACAAAAAGAGAGTGAAAAACATGAATCAAACAAAGCAGAACAACAGGCAAATGTAGAGTGGGTGCCTGCTCACTGGACCCTTATCCTAACTCTCCACTGTTTTTTTACCCCCTGTGGAAAATACACAGGGATTGAAATTCTGACTTCCAAGGCTAGCTAATACCAACACATTGTTACCAATTGTAACTAACGAGAGAAACACAGATTATCTCTGATACTTGGTTTACCAAGCATCTCAGTGTCAGTGTTTAAGCCACTCACTGACTATCATTTGGCTGGAGAAGAGGTCATTCTTCAGCCTCTCTCCCAGCAGGGAGCTGAAGACCTGCCAGCTTTGGCCATCTCCTCGCCATCTGAAGTCCTGACTACAGCCCTTGGCCTTGCTAGTGTACTACCACATATCATCTGAAGGACACTCTGCTAGCCTTATCACCCGCTTCTGTTTCTCCTTCTTCAGTCACATTCTCTTATTGTTGATTTTCACTAGTAAATTATTTCAACTCCCCACACACTACTTCACTGTTATAACATTTTTTTTAATTTATTGTTTTACATTTTAAATTAAAATATAATAATTACATCACTTCCCTCTTTCCCTTTCTTCCCTCCAGATCATCCAATGTACTCTTCCTTTCAACTCATCCCATGCTCCCCCCATGCTCAAGTTGATAGCCTCTTTTTCTTTGGTTATTATTATTATATACATATATGAAACCCATATGATGTTCATATTTATGTATATATGATCAAACACACACACATGTATCCCACTGAGTTCATTTTTGTTCTTTGTGCATATATAGTTCCACGTAAAACCACTTTGTATTAAACAATCAGGAGGCTCATCAAGCCCTTGGAGATGCTAATTCTTCTTCCCCCAGTAGTCATTAGTTTCCTGTAGTTCTATTTTACATTCTTTCTTAAAAGAACATACTTGAGGGACTTTAGAAATGGTTCATGGGTTAAGAGGACTGACTGCTCTTCCAGAGGACCTTGGTTTAATTCCCAGCACCCACATACCAGTTCATCTCCATCTGTGACTCTAGTTTCAGGGGATCTGACACCCTCTTCTGGTCTCTGATGGCACCAGACATGCAAGTGGTGCACAAACATGTGTACATGGAGCACAATGTCTGTACTAACACAAAAACAAAAAATACTCTTGACTTTCAAAAGTTTCTTCATTCTCATCAAATGGAATCATACCTCATGGTCTCTTCATAAATGCACCACCAGTCATACATGAAACTTTGTAACCCTTTTCCTTGAACACTATTCATTTGCAGTCAGGGCTGAATATACCATCCTCCACAGTTATTCATTTCTAACACGTTGACCTTGCCCTTTCAGGTCTTTCAGGGCTACCCATCTTCAACGGAAACTTCCTTTCCTCTTCTACTTATACATTTCAAGAGTTTCACAATGTGTTGAAGGGAAGTTTATGTATGTGCATATCCCTGGTCCAAGTTTTAATGGAGTTCCAAGACTCTCAAAATTGGAACACAACTGGTACACCTATATAATCATGAATGCAGATCTAACCTGCTGCCTATAAAGCCTGTGTCACAGAGCCATCAAGCATGCTCCAGAAGCACACAAGTTTACAGACATCACAAATTAGCCCTGCAGTACTCACATGTGCTCCCCTAGATACCTATGACAAACTGTAAGTCAATATAATCCAGAAAGCCCGGTCTCCCATAGGGAAGATACTGAGACATGGAAGCACTGGCCAGCTCTCCTGTCTCTGTTCTCTTCTAAGATGCCTTCTATGTCTTCAACAATCACCCAATTGAGTTGTAATCCCCTGGTCTATTCCAGTGAGAATACACCTTCATCAAACACCCTCCTAGAGAGCCACACCCATATGGCCCTAATAGCTTCAGGTACAAGAGTAATTAATTAATGCTTCTTATTAAGTTAGGCAAGCGTTCTTCCTTGATAACGACTTCCAGTTTGCTTCTTTTCATAAAGTGGGTCTGGCTTTTTGTGTACCAAGGATGCTCCCTGGGAAAAAGAGAGACCTCTCTTCCTGTCTAATTTGCTTTTGAAAAATATTCAATTATGTTTCTGCTTTAATTCACTTAGTGATGAAAAGTAAATGAGCCCAACAAACGTGTTTGATTTGTCTTGGAAACAGAAACAGCTTTACAAGAACAAACGAAGTTAAATTAAAATAAGTGATTCTCCACTGTGGCAGAATGGAATTTTCCCCTCCAAACTTCATCACATCTATGAAACACAAGGCAGACAAACACAAGGTAGAAACACAAAAACAAAAATGCCTTGGTAAGCAGCAAGTCTCACCTGCACCCACCCCCATAACTACAGATGATCTATGTGATGGGGCCCAGGCATGGCTATGGAAATCATGCATGACCAATAATATTCCACCTTCATAAGCAGAGTGGCTGGGACTGCCAGTCACACTGTCCCGATGGGTGTTCCACCTACCGTTTTTGCAGATGGGGCAGCACTGATCAGGCTCGTACACGGGGTCCACACATTCCGTCTGGGGACACGCCGACACTGTGCACAGCACTTCACCATTGGCTTCACAGCGGCACCGCTCACACGGAGACACCTGAGACACAAGCCCATGATCAGGGTCACACCTCCCACAGTCCTTACCCTATAAAGTCATATCTTTATTTTTATGAAGGTATGAAGACACCCAGGTGTTTTAGGGATGACATTTTTTAAATGCCTGGTCCCAGTATTTTTTCAAATGTGGACACAAGCTCCTGCTGCTGTTGCCTGAGGTGTAAATAAAGGCATTCACTGGGGCTACCCAGCGGCTCAGCGCTCAGCTCTAGTCAGGGCAGCACTCACTGAAGGGACTTCTTTAAAAGCATCTTTTGAAGAAATATTTCTGTTGCTTCCAAAATCAAATTACTACTGATTTCTTGCTCAGCAAAGCCTTACTTTTCCATAGCCCTGTCAACTCTACACTTAGTCTAGCATGGATTGTTCCCAATATTTCTCAGAACAGGGCAGACAGGAAGAAAGGAAAGCATAAGACACTCACATGGTCCTCCGACACCAGAAGCCCCATACCAGGAGCTGCATGACCTTGATATCTCAGAGGTCTTATAGCCACACTAAGTGCCCTCCTGAAATGGTTGGCCCTGTACTGGAAAGGGACCTGAGACTTAGAGGCATTAGGCCCCTTGCCTTCACCAGATATCCTAAGGGATCAAGGTAAGATGCCACAGAGGGCTCTTGAGTGGAGGTCTATGCTGCCTCCCCCTTCTCCAGTTCAATGTCTCACAGGGTCATTCCTTCATGACATCAGTGGTACCATGTTCTTTGGGAACCAAGGCTTTGAGAGGTATCAGGGTCTCTCTGTTTGTCTCTTTCTGTCTGTCTCCCTGTACCCCTCCCCCGTGTGTGTGTCTGTTTCTTTCTCCTTCTCTGTCTCTTTGTGTGTGTGTGTGTGTGTGTGTGTGTGTGTGTGTGTGTGTGTGTGTGTGTGTGTATGTGTGTAGAGAGAGAGAGAGAGAGAGAGAGAGAGAGAGAGAGAGAGAGAGAATGAGAGAGAGAGAGATATTAAACATTTCACAAAAGCCCAGAATAAAATGTTGGCCTAGTTTACAAGTTAAAACCAAGTTTACAACAATATAAAGGCACAGCTTCAGTTTTAAGAAGTATTTTTGGCACAATGTAGTGTGGGAGATTTTGTAATGTTTCTGTGGTTGTCATTGTTTTCCTCTGTTTTTCCTGGCTAGAGCACTGCGTCTCTGTCTCCAGAGCAGATGTAGACAGCAAGCAACATGAAGAAAATATTCTGAGTTTTAAGAGCAAAGACCTTGAGTTGCAAGAAAAGCAGTCAAGTGCATGTCAGATCCCTTTAACTGGAAGGACTTCAGGCAGAAGCCAAGAAGCCCAGATGGTGTGGATTAGAGATGCAGAGCCATGCTGCCCCAAGGAGCAGAGCCTCCCCAGCTTATGGCGGTAGAGTTAGCAATGGGCAGGGAGGTCACATATCTGCATATGTCCTTAGGAAGCTGCTCCATAGCTAGGCACCCACCCTTCACCTGGGCCATGCTCTAGGGAGAGAGGAAGAAGCTTAATGTGGGATGGATTTAAAGGGGACAAAATGGGCCCTATGTCATGTTCCTAGGTAAAATGTGCACCTAAAGATCAGACTGTTCTCAGTACGTAGTAGGTAGGTGGCCTTTGGTGAGTCCATCCTTCCACAGGAAGCCTTAATTGGGCATGGAAATGAAGTTCCCTACCTCCAGGACAAGGTAAAACCTCCCCATGTGAGGGCTGTAGACACACACTGTGATTTTCTGAAAAGTCCTGCAGTTTTATCTAACATTTGATTGGGGGTTTTACTGTCATTAAGTATTTAGAAGTCTGACTCAGCTATTTAGGGATTTGTTCATTTCTCAAAAACCAGAAATAATACTCCATCAGGGTTACCGTGAGTGTGCTCCTTTCTAGTCTACTTTCTACCACCCATATCTCCTGTCATCAGCTCCCACTCTGGGGCTGTCTTTACTCCAATCCTAGGCTCAGGCTACCCAGGCTCCTACAAAGAGAAGGTGGTGAGAGGAAGTTTCCAATTTCTGTTGGTTCCCCGAGTTGCCCTAGGCTCTGCCGGTACCATTGTCAGAAGGTCACAGGCCCCTAGTTCCTAAGATATCAGTCTCTCTTGTGTATTAATGGGGTTACCACCTTGCCCCAGACTCAGCTTCACCTCAGAACTGTGGGTACAGTGCTCATGTTCCTATCTCCCACAGGACAATACAGTCTGATACTTCCTCCCAAATCACACATCTTTTTGGCCAGCTAGTTTCCACACTCCTCTGGGACCACCCGTCAGGCTCTTTTGCCACTCCTTGTGTTGATTCCTGGTCATCAATTAAGCTACAGGCAGTCAACCAGCCATGCCTCGGATTAATACCACCTCCTGATTGTGAAGCTCAGTGATACTTAGCATCTGAGCCTCTTGGCTTTCACTCTTCTACTCTTCCCTGGTGCAGACCTGTGCCCCTTTTAAATCTCACACGGCATCTACTTCTGCTGACTATAGAGCCAGCTGAGACGAGTCGATCAAAGCATGCATAGAGCTGGGGCCTTTCCTCCAGTAAGCCATCACTCAACTCCATCCCTCGACCTGCGCTGTGGCCCTCTTCCAGCATATAGAATGTTGCTAAGTTTAAAAAATAAATTAAATAAAACAAGATAAAGAAAATGCAAACCAAACCAAACCAGTGTTTCTGGGACCTCAGGAACCAACCAAGGAAGTTGTAAGCATAGCACATTCAAAAAGTGACCCCTGTGATGGGGACCCAGAAGGACGCAGGCTAGATCTTCTCACACCTCTGGCTCTGACCCAGACTGCCCATCCTCCCTACTAAAACCAACTCTGTTCAGCAGCCTCAGGCACTGCAACACACCGGGAGAGATCCCAACATGTGTCAATAAGAAGAGTATGGCTTTTCCCAACTGAGAGTGAGAATGAAGACCTTCTCTGTTCATGCCACAACTCCAGCTGCAATTTCAGAAGTGTGAACTTCTCCTGCCACCTTTTTCGAGAGTGAGGATAAGATGGTGTTTGGTGTGGGGTGGTGTGTGTGTGTGTGTGTGTGGTGATGAACAAATAGTGTAGCTGGACCTGGCCTCTGCTGCAAGAGCTCTAATTTCACATGGCTGGTCGTTGTTCCTTATCCACATGGCTCTGTAGTTACCACGTGGGTTATGCTTGCAAGCAGCAGCTCTTTAAAGGGAATCTAAGAAACATACCCTAAACACAAAGCAGAAATTTTTTCAGTGGCACAACTCTGACTACAGCATACACAAGAAAGCGTAAATAAATATGGTAATTCAATGGTAATAAAAGTACAGAAGTCATAATTAGGGGTGCTCTCACAGTACTCGATAGTTATGTGTGTGCCTCTGTCACATGTACAGCAGTAGCAGGGACTGTGCAATAAATACTGAGGCTGTATCATTTGATTCAGTGTAAGTGGGTGTGGTGGTTTGAAAGAAAATGGCCCCCAAAGGAAGTGGCCCTATTAGGAGGTGTGGCCTTGTTGAAGTAGACGTGGTACTGTTGGAGGAAGTGTGCCACTGTAGGGGCAGGCTTTCAGGTGTTTTTTTGCTCAAGCTTTACTTAATGTGACACTAAGACAACTTTCCGTTTGCTATGGAATATTAGTTGAAGAAGTGTTACATTTGTTTATGCTGTGGAACATTTTGTTAATAATGCAAAGATGTGTTGCATTCTTTTATGTTACATTTGTTTAACTCCATGAAGTTGTGTTACTTTGCCTGACTAAAACACCTGATTGGTCTCATAAAGAGCTGAACGGCCAATAGCAAGGCAGGAGAGAGATAGGTGGGGCTGCCAGACAGAGAGAATCAATAGGAGGAGAAAAAGAGAGAAGAGAAGGAGTGGAAAAAGGAGGAGTGAGGACATCAGGGCCCAGCCACCCCAGCTACACAGCAAGCCATGGAGTAAGAAGTAAAGAAAGGTATATAGAATAGAGAAAGATAAAAGCCCAGAGGCAAAGGGTAGATGGGATAATTTCAGTTAAGAAAAGCTGGCTATAAATAAGGCAGGCTAAGGCCGGACATTCATGAGTAAGAATAAGTCTCTGTGTGATTATCTGGGAGTTGAGTGGTGGGTCCCCCAAGGAGTAAAGTGTGGGGAAAAATCCCAACACCTATTGTTTCCAAGATGTAGGACTCTCAGCTATTTCTCCAGCACCATGTCTGCCTGCATGCCACCATGTCCCACTATGAAGATAATGGACTGAACCTCTAAATTTAAGCTGTTTATTAAATGTTTCCTTTATGAGTTGCCATAGTCATGGTCTCTCTTCACAGCAATAGAAACCTTAACTAGGACCATGGACAATGTAGTTAATACATAAAATTAGTCTTGAGTATAAAATAAAGACCATAAAAATGAACACTGTGCCTTACACATAAACTAGGTGTCCCCTAATCACTTCCTACAAAACCCTCCCTCTTTTTTAAGCTTGTTTGTTTGTTTTTTGTTTTTTGTTTTTCGAGACAGGGTTTCTCTGTGTAGCTTTGCGCCTTTCCTGGATCTCGCTCTGTAGACCAGGTTGGCCTTGAACTCACAGAGATCCACCTGCCTCTGCCTCCCAAGTGCTGGGATTAAAGGCGTGTGCCACCACTGCCCCGCGACCCTCCCTCTTAAAGAGTCCATCTATCACCACCAGGAGGATTAAGTTTCAAATATGTGTACCCCCACAAGATGGTAAGTTGTATACATTTTATACTAATGAACTTGGGTTGAATTAGGTGTCTATCTGTATGAAAGTCTGCCTTGGTCAGTTTGTAACTGCAATTCTAATTACTAATAGCACAAGAGGGACCTGCAGAAAGTTCCTTAAATTTAAATCCTGTTTTTATTTATGTCTCTAACTTCTTTCCTGTGGCAAAAGGAATATTCTCCTCTCCTCTCCTCTTCTCTTCTCTTCTCTTCTCTTCTCTTCTCTTCTCTTCTCTTCTCTTCTCTTCTCTTCTCTTCTCTTCT